ACTGAGCTACCTAGGTGCCCCATGGTCTGTTTTCCTGAACCACTATTTTACTTGCGTAGACACATACACTTTTAATAAGTGAAAGATCTCCCATAAAAGCTCACAACATTGCCTGCACATTTAGCCACTTTCTTTATCTAGAAATGTTCTTTTCCAATACTATGTTGAATAGCAGTGGTGAGAGTGGACATCCCTGTCTGGTTCCTGATCTTAGGGGAAAGGCTCCCAGTGCTTCCCCATTGAGAATGATATTTGCTGTGGGCTTTTCGTAGATGGCTTTTAAGATATCGAGGAAAGTTCCCTCTATCCCTACACTCTGAAGAGTTTTGATCAGGAATGGATGCTGTATTTTGTCAAATGCTTTCTCTGCATCTAATGAGAGGATCATATGGTTCTTGGTTTTTCTCTTGCTGATATGATGAATCACATTGATTGTTTTACGAGTGTTGAACCAAGTCCTAGCCTCAGCAATCAGACAACAAAAAGACATTAAAGGCATTCAAATTGGCAAAGAAGAAGTCAAACTCTCCCTCTTCGCCGATGACATGATACTCTACATAGAAAACCCAAAAGCCTCCACCCCAAGATTGCTAGAACTCATACAGCAATTTGGTAGCGTGGCAGGATACAAAATTAATGCCCAGAAATCAATGGCATTCCTATACACTAACAATGAGACTGAAGAAAGAGAAATTAAGGAGTCAATCCCATTTACAATTGCACCCAAAAGCATAAGATACCTAGGAATAAACCTAACCAAAGAGGTAAAGGATCTATACCCTAAAAACTATAGAACACTTCTGAAAGAAATTGAGGAAGACACAAAGAGATGGAAAAATATTCCATGCTCATGGATTGGCAGAATTAATATTGTGAAAATGTCAATGCTACCCAGGGCAATTTACACGTTCAATGCAATCCCTATCAAAATACCATGGACTTTTTTCAGAGACTTAGAACAAATTATTTTAAGATTTGTGTGGAATCAGAAAAGACCCCGAATAGCCAGGGGAATTTTAAAAAAGAAAACCATAGCTGGGGGCATCACAATGCCAGATTTCAGGTTGTACTACAAAGCTGTGGTCATCAAGACAGTGTGGTACTGGCACAAAAACAGACACATAGACCAATGGAACAGAATAGAGAATCCAGAAATGGACCCTGAACTTTATGGTCAACTAATATTCGACAAAGGAGGAAAGACGATCCACTGGAAGAAAGACAGTCTCTTCAATAAATGGTGCTGGGAAAATTGGTCATCCACATGCAGAAGAATGAAACTAGACCACTCTCTTGCACCATACACAAAGATAAACTCAAAATGGATGAAAGATCTAAATGTGAGACAAGATTCCATCAAAATCCTAGAGGAGAACACAGGCAACACCCTTTTTGAACTTGGCCACAGTAACTTCTTGCAAGATACATCCACGAAAGCAAAAGAAACAAAAGCAAAAATGAACTATTGGGACTTCATCAAGATAAGAAGCTTTTGCACAGCAAAGGATACAGTCAACAAAACTCAAAGACAACCTACAGAATGGGAGAAGATATTTGCAAATAACATATCAGATAAAGGGCTAGTTTCCAAAATCTATAAAGAACTTATTAAACTCAACACCAAAGAAACAAACAATCCAATCATGAAATGGGCAAAAGACATGAAGAGAAATCTCACAGAGGAAGACATAGACATGGCCAACATGCACATGAGAAAATGCTCTGCATCACTTGCCATCAGGGAAATACAAATCAAAACCACAATGAGATACCACCTCACACCAGTGAGAATGGGGAAAATTAATAAGGCAGGAAACAACAAATGTTGGAGAGGATGCGGAGAAAAGGGAACCCTCTTACACTGTTGGTGGGAATGTGAACTGGTGCAGCCACTCTGGAAAACTGTGTGGAGGTTCCTCAAAGAATTAAAAATAGACCTGCCCTATGACCCAGCAATTGCACTGTTAGGGATTTACCCCGAAGATTCAGATGCAATGAAACGCCGGGGCACCTGCACCCCGATGTTTCTAGAAGCCATGTCCACAATAGCCAAACTGTGGAAGGAGCCTCGGTGCCCATCGAAAGATGAATGGATAAAGAAGATGTGGTTTATGTATACAATGGAATATTACTCAGCCATTAGAAACAACAAATACCCACCATTTGCTTCAACGTGGATGGAACTGGAGGGTATTATGCTGAGTGAAGTAAGTCAATCGGAGAAGGACAAACAGTGTATGTTCTCACTCATTTGGGGAATATGAATAATAGTGAAGGGGAATATAAGGGAAGGGAGAAGAAATGTGTGGGAGATATCAGAAAGGGACACAGAACATAAAGACTTCTAACTCTGGGAAATGAACTAGGGGTGGTGGAAGGGGAGGAGGGCGGGGGGTGGGGGTGAATGGGTGACGGGCACGGAGGGGGACACTTGACGGGATGAGCACTGGGTGTTATTCTGTATGTTGGTAAGTTGAACACCAATAAAAATTAATTTATAAAAAAAAATAAATAAATAAAAAATAAAAAATAAAAAAAAAAAAAGAAATGTTCTTTTCTTTCACATACAGAATTATTTCTTATTTTAAAGAAACACGTTGTAACACACTTCAAAATGCTCACCATTGGCTAATGCACATCCACTAAAATAATAATATCATACTTTGCATAATATTTACATTAAATACAGTATGATCATGATATGCAGAAAATCAAGATACACAATACTGGTTAATTATCATCCAGAGAACTTCCCACCTTTGCTGCTATAGTAAGAGATATAATTTGGATTCTAAGACACGTTGTTTAATTTGACCACAGGCCGAATTTAGTGTTACACTAAAGCACAATTATGAAAAAAACATATCTTGCCAATAGACTTGTTAATACCTAAAATGTATTTAAATATATACCATTTTTGATTATTGGTCACCCAGCTCTCTAATTCACCCAAAATTTTGTATATAAGCAAACTTTGCTTTATAATTTATATGCCCAAATCAATGTCATAGGTAAGGCTCCTTAAATTAGAGGTATTCAGGATAATCAGTTGAATGAAAATTTTCATTAAAACTTTCATCTACTTCCTCTTGGATAATACAGAATAATTATTCCTTCTTTTCAAATAAATAAAAGATATTTTTGGAGAAATGAAGTTACAAAAATAGCAGCCCTGGGTAGCATTTAGAGGAAAATAATTCTATTATTGGTCATATAAAATAGCCTCATTTAAGTCATTTCTCCATCTGGGAGCCAGTTTCTAGTCTGTGAGATTTTTTTCATTACCTCTTACTAGATAGTGGTTTAGTATCCTAATGTTTCTAGGAAAAGAAGAGATGTGCTTACTAAGAATTAGCTCTCTATACTCCAAAGAATAAAGGCTAGAAGTATAATCTATAGTCTTTACAGAATAGATATTTTTTATTATATTTTTAAATTGCCTTGTCTCTATATCTACTCTTGGAAAATCTACTTCAGTATAAATTAAAAGCAAAAAATAAATAATTAAAAAACCTCAATATTTATTGCAAAGAAAACCCAGGTATAAACAGTTATATTTTTCACTGTTCCATTAAACAGATGAGGAGGTAGAGTGATAAAGTGTTCATTGTAATTCACTATATAGAGACCTATTAAACACAGCAAAATTGAAAACCAAACTATGTATACATCACACATACGCATACCATATGTACATAATACAAGACTGAATGTATGTTTACTGTTTAAGTATATCATATATTGCAAGTGGCAGTTATTTACTGGGTCTAATATTTATCAAAGGCATTACCAAAGACTACCTTTTTAATTTAACCAAATTTTCTTTAGATCAGAATAACTACTATTCATCAAGCGAATTTCCTGAAATTGAATTGTAATATTTATGTCTAAATATATCATAATTTCAAAGTTTGAAAGTAAAGACAATTTTTATAAGACAAAGGTGACTAGCACAAAACCCTTCATAAACAGGAAAACTATATTAAGTGAATCAATGAACAAATGAAAATCTCTTTAACGTATAAGATATCGTTTGTCAACTTATTTGTATATGTTTCATAAATAGGATCATGCAAAAAGTCATCAAGAAGAATCTCTCTCAGTAAGATAAGAACAATGTCTAACTCTCTAATATTGCTCTTGTTTCTCCCCCTTTTTTGTTCTCTTGGAACCACTTTTAGAGATGCAAACTATAAAGTAAAAAGAGGTATGTTACCTGGCATACAATGACCAAAATGCACATCTGGATATAATTCTGTTATACAAACTGACTTCATTCAACTTATGTTACCTCATTAGATCCTTGCAAAAATCCAATGAACTATACAAGGGCAAATTTTATCACTGCCATTTTATACATGAATAAATTGATATTGTGAAGGCTGTGGTGATTCCAATACGGTCATGTGACTAGTGAGCTGTAGATTCATTATTATAGATGGAGTTCTCAATCTTGCTCAAATGCCCTTCTACCTTAGCAACCAGAGACAGGAATGACACCATTCACTGCACCTCATACAATTATTCAATTATTGTACCTGCAATTATGTTATTTTCAAATTCATGAGAACATATATGTCAGATTCACAGAGTGATAAATCAGAAAAATAGCAAATTTTCTAATTTGGAGCAAGACAGGAAGACAGAGGTAGATTTCATATATTCTATTTCAACACCTTACAAAGTGTTTCCAAAAATGATACCATTACAAAATACAAGCATAATTTTCTGAAACTGTAAACTCATTATTTCAAGTACTTTCAACAGCTAACATTTCTGTAATTCCCTAAGCATATTTTCTTTAACCTTTCAAATGCATTTCAGCACAGGATGATTTAAAAGCAAGGAGGAATAAATTTCACCTTATAGGAATCCACTCAGCATTTGGTTAAGTACTTCTTTCATTGCATAGATTGGAAAAAATCAATATGCAGCACAAAAAGTCAACTTAAAATGGTAGTTTCACTACTTGCAAATGAAATATTGGAGACTATGATTACCTGTAACAGTTAATTCAGTAGTTCTTCTCACAACAAAGCCTCCATATTTTAATTCACAGGTGTAATTTCCAATGTCATCTTCTCTGACTTCTCTTATAAGCAGTGTATCTCTTTTGAATACGATACTTGGCCTCCATGTTTTTGTCCTACATTCCTGCATGAAAAACACAGAATGTCTGTAGTAAGTACAATAATTGAAAAGCAGAGAAAAGTATTTTAAATAATGAAACCAAAAACTTCTAAAGTTGTATTTTAAAGCGCTAAAGAGTTTAGGATTAATTCTAAAAATTTTCATACATTCTCTACATCTCCTGGAAGTCAGCTACCTCAATGTGAAGAGTATTTTTTTTTTAGCAAGAGTAACCTTTTTTTTTTTTTGGAGTGAGATAGCACACGCACATGCACGTGCCTGTAGGTGCATGTGCAGAGGTGGGGCAGAGGGAGAGGGAGAGAGAGAGAGTCCTAAGCAGGCTTCATGTCCAGCATGGAGCCCCACATGGGGCTCCACAGGGGGCTTGATCTCATGACTCTTATGACTTTGAGACCATGTCCTGAGCCAAAATCAAGAGTCAGATGCTTAAATGACTGAGTCACCCAGCTGCCCCTAGCAAGAGCCATTTTATTAACTTCTAAGATTAGTGTCTCTAAATCAGATATATATTGATTTAAAAGATAATAAGGGATATTTGTTAAGATTACTCCTAACAACAACAAAAAAGATTACTCCTAACATCATTTTTAGAAGCAAATACTACACATTTGATGACTGTGAAATTAACCATCTTGATACTGATAGCATAAAATATAAGATATATTATTTTAGCATAAAGTAGAAAATTCTGTAGAGGAAAATGCTATTTTAATATTTTAAATCTTTTAATACTACATTTCGAAATAATTCTATCTCTTCATAGCACGTATGTTCCACAATTTGTGAAAGAAATGGCCAACATTTATATACAAGGTCTCTACAGTACCATAAATATCTATTTTCATTGTTGATGGGTCTACCAAATTATGGTCTCTAAATTAAGCTTTGGATTATAATGATGTTGGCTCAGGAGCTTTCTCTTTTTGGCAGAACAGAAGTCTATTTCCTCTTGCCAGATTTGAAATCAATGCCATGAAGATAAAATAGCTTTAAGCCCTTCGACATTGCTCAGAGATAGTATTATTTCTAAAAATATTTATTGCTAAATAAAATTTTTGCAGACTATTATTTTGATTATGTGGTTCAATGCCTTCAAGTAAGTGGGAGACAATTATCCAGTTATTTCGGACAAAAATATACATCTTATATCCTCATATTAGTTGCATAAACTGTCATAATAAAAGTTATATACCGAATACATGGGCTACATATTGTCATGACTATGGAAAAATAATCTGGAAGGCTTTCAAGTTCCATATATACCACATTTCTTCCAATCATTCCACTAGTGACAGTCTTTATAGCTTAAGGTCACAGTGATTGGGGTGATGGTGGAAACATGAATAAAGGGGCAATGTAAGGTCAGCCATTTTAAATACTGAGTGTGTGTCTGAGTGTGCATGTGTAGAAGATGAAGGTGAAGGTACACACATGACTACCAGAAAAAAAAAAAAACCTTCTGTTCTTAGGGATCTTGGGTCAAACTCCCCTAATACCTCTCCCCTTTGAGACAATCATCAGGGCTTGTGGAAAGCAGGCAAACCAGCAAGAATCAGGGTTAGAAATCCTCACATAATTTGAAAAAGGGAAAAAATAAACCTCATCTGCGCAGAAACAGAGATCAGTGGTGCTAATATTTGAGGGCTGTTTGACAGTGTTTAGGATAGAAATTCAACAGAAAAGTAGAAAAAAAATTTCAACAGTTCCCTTGCTGTTCTAAATCCTCCACTGATTGTTATCAAGAATCAAAATTAAGTATTACTCAGAGACATACTAATATTGGTGGATATAGTTACTAAGAGGTCATGCTTCCTACATTCCTATTTCCAGGGAGTTGAACAAAGCAAATTTTATACTAGTACTCTTTAAATCAAGGATATTATGTTCCAGACAGATGTTCATAGTACTTGTATTTTCTTGAATACACTCAAAAACAGAAATTCCTTTGATGGTATAAATAAACTGAAGGGTACATTCTCATCTTAAAATTCAGAGAAAGTCAATTATGTGATAGGAAGGACAGGGGTTGGAGAATTCTCCTTAAATCTAAAATTTCTTTTGGCTTTTGAAAAAAAAGTTTATCTAGCGCTATTTTTATAATGTTATGAATTTTCATCAGATTTTTAAAAATATATATGCTTTATGTGAATAGGATTAGAATCTACACAAAGATACTTCCATTAAACAGAACTTTTCATAAAGCTAGGGTATCATTTTTTTCATGGAAGTAAATCAATCTTTTCCTTGTTTAGAAACATTAGGAACGTTTTTATCAAGAGTTCTGAAATGGATGCTTAATGTATTTTAGTTCCTGAAATTATCAACACAGATTATAATAGACTTGAAGGAATTATATAAACTAGATACAAACGTAAACACAACATCTTACTGTAATGGATCACCAATACAAATATTGACTAGCATTTATAAAAGCTATTGGTTTGAAAACTTTTAATGACCAGCACAACTTGCTGTATTTTAGGAGGGCAGAGCCAAACTTCATCATATTCATATAACTTTTTTATCCAACTTGTCCAAGAATAAGATACAGATTAGTCTATTTATAAGGAACAAAATCATTCACAATACATACCTTATACCATAGGATTTCAGGTTCTCTAGTTGGTAGTAAAAAATCTTCTATGTCACGGCATGAAATTTCCTTGCTTTTGCTAAGTTCAGCTTTGTCAAAGTATTTCATCTTGGAATTGTAGCAGAGTCCAGTATCATTTTCACCCACGGTCAGTGAGATGGATACTTTCATACAGTATGTAGAGTTTCTGTAATGAAGCAGAATAAATACGTGGTCTGGTGTGAACAAAAAGTAAGTGCTGCCACGCAGTATGTTTACTTCACTAAAGGGGACAGACAGAGAGACAGAGGCAGAGACAGAGAGAGAAGGAGGAGGAGGAAGAGAGAGAGAAAGAAAAGGAAAAACTCCACTAATTAATGTTAGGGTATCATGGCTTATTCCACAGGGTTCTCTCTTGTCACTCAGCTAAGCACTGCTTGGTTCTGTGAAACCATTTGTATATTTTTCATTTCCTAGAAAAAAGTTTTTTATTATATACAATTCTTGTTTGAAAAAAATGTTCAATAAGGATTTCTGTATCTAGAAATGTAAAAAAAAATAAAGGTAGATTTAGGTCAGGAAGGAAGTCAACCTTGGGTTTATGCTAAACTTGGCAAACACAACAGAGAAGTAGAAAAATGTAACTGATCTATTAAGCATAATGGAAGGAGAAGAATAAAACTGCTCAATTCTTACAGTACTGGTTGTCTTGATAAGTGGAGAGCTTATTGATGAGTCTGGGAAGAAAACATTCTCGGATAAAAATACAGTAAGCTTATTATCTTTACAACCCCAGATCCATTTGGGTTGGGACCTGGAGTCCAGGTTGTCAGACAAGAGAATTATTCTAATGTATTATGTAAGGACAACTCCACCCTGGTAGATTCTATGGAATCAGTTCATTATATCAGTATCTCATTTTACAACCTGTTGGTTCCTAAATCAGGTTTATAACTTGAAATACAAGAGAACAGAAATCAAGTTCAGAGATCTCTGAAAGAGTAGACCAAAGGAAGTTTTGTTTTTGTTTTTTGTTTTTTGTTTTGTAAACTGCACTCTCTCTGCTGTTTATGTCTCTGGACATGCACTGAGCACTGCTATGGGTCAGTCATGCTGATATAGGCAGTGAGAATAAAGAGAAGCATAAACATTAAATTCAAGGTTTTGTACAGAATGTCTTACTTGGTAAGTGCCCAATGGCTCACTTGTATACTTGTGTATCAAAGTCCTGTCTTTGAGTTTTACTGCTTACTATTTCTGTAACTTTGAGCAACCCATTTAACACCTTGGAACTTTAGGTGGAGGGTGTTTGAGTATTAAATGGGATAATGAATTAAAATCTGTTTGGCCTGTTACTGGTACTCAGTAATGTTGGCACTTCTCGCTCCACATTGGTGTACACAGATCATAGCCCCCAAGTCTTCCTCCTTATTCAGCGAAGATGCTTGACATTTAAGCAACTCTTTGATTTAAATTCTTGCTTTATTTTAAAAATACCTATATGACATGATGAGAATAGCCAGAAAATAGGTAGGTTGGTTATGGCATAATAAAACATATAGTTGGTCTTGGCTGGCACAGATTTCCTGAAACTCAGAACTGCCTGAGTAATAGGAGTGTATTTTGTTATTCAAAGTAAACCCCTTTTAATTGTCTTTGAATTTATGTTAAGGAGATGCTTTGGGGTGAAGTCCCTGGCAAGCTCGGTGGGGATGGGGCTGGTTATCAGAAAGACCAAGTGTGCAGAAGGTTGGAATTTTTAACTCTCTCCACTGACCTTCAGGCAAGAGGGCAGGAATTTCAGGCTATGCTCTATAAAAACTCTAGAACAAAAAAGATTTGATGAGTTTGGGTTGATGAATATATGGAGGTGCTGGGAGGGTGGCATGCCTGGAGACGACATGGAAGTTCTGTGCCTCTTCCTCCACACTTCGCCCCACACATCTCTTCCATCTGACCATTTATTTCTATCCTCTGAAATACCCAACAATAGTAAGTAAACTGTTTTCCTGGGTTTTGTGAGCCATTCTAGCAAATGATTGAATCCAAGGAGGGGGTTGTGAGAACCTCTGATTTACAGTCAGTCTGTCAGAAGCACAGGTGACAATCTGGACTTGCAATTGATATCTGAATTGTGAGGCAGGGGCAGTCTTGTGGGATTGAGTCTTACCCTGTGGGGTGTGATATTATCTCCAAGTAGATAGTATCAGAACAGATTTGAACTGTAGCACATCCAGCTGGTATTACAAAATTGCTTGGTGTGGTGGGAAAAACCCTACATACTCCATTTCAGAAGTACTGAGAATGAGGAGAAAAGTAGAGTTTTCCTTTATAGTTATTTACTCAGCTTTATATTGGGTAACAAAGAAAACTACCACAAAATTATTAGGTAGACTTATTAAATGTGGCTGTCTTTACCTTTGTATAATAGCCTACAAGCAGGTCTAAAATGCTTTATAGGTTGGGAAGAGGGGCGCTCAGGTGGCTCAGTCTGTTAATCACCAGCTTTTGATTTCAGCTCAGATCATGATTTCCAGGTTGTGAGATCAAGCCCTCCATCAGGCTCCACACTACGTGTTGAACTTGCTTATGATTCTCTCTTTACTTCTCTCTCTGCCCCTCCCTTTCCTCTCTCTCTCCCTTTAAAAATAAAATAAATAAAATAAAACAAAATAAAATAAACTTCATAGGTGAAACCCTTAACTTTTAAACAAAGTCAATCAATAAAAAGTTCCTGAAAGAATGTGTTCAGAGATTTTTTTGAATGATAAAATAAATTCCCTGCTCTTGGCTCCTAACAATCCAGGAGAAATGATACACAAGTAAATAGGTGAATGTCAACGTGAGAAGCACTACAAAGAACTACTGTGTGCTACCACAGGAGTGTCAAAGAGAGAAACAAGACTTCAAAAGTTGTGATATCTGGTTGTCTTACAGAATGAGTAAGAATATGGCAATTTTAACAAAGGCTTTTTCAGGGAATAGTATGCACAGTCTTGAAGACATGCAACAACTTGATGTGTTGGAGGAATTGCAAATACCTTAGTGTGGCTGGATTATGAAGTAGTTATGAAGGGACAGTGGGGATTGAGACTGGAGAGTTGTGCAGAAGCCTGAAGGAGAGGCAGGTAAGCCACAGCAGAATGTGGACTTTATGCTAGGAGAGGATGCGGAGAAAAGGGAACCCTCTTACACTGTTGGTGGGAATGTGAACTGGTGCAGCCACTCTGGAAAACTGTGTGGAGGTTCCTCAAAGAGTTAAAAACAGACCTGCCCTACGACCCAGCAATTGCACTGTTGGGGATTTACCCCAAAGATTCAGATGCAATGAAACGCCAGGACACCTGCACCCCGATGTTTCTAGCAGCAATGTCCACAGTAGCCAAACTGTGGAAGGAGCCTCGATGTCCATCGAAAGATGAATGGATAAAGAAGATGTGGTCTATGTATACAATGGAATATTACTCAGCCATTAGAAACGACAAATACCCACCATTTGCTTCAACGTGGATGGAACTGGAGGGTATTATGCTGAGTGAAGTAAGTCAATCGGAGAAGGACAAACAGTGTATGTTCTCATTCATTTGGGGAATCTGAATAATAGTGAAAGGGAATATAAGGGAAGGGAGAAGATATGTGTGGGAAATATCAGAAAGGGAGACAGAACATAAAGACTCCTAACTCTGGGAAATGAACTAGGGGTGGTGGAAGGGGAGGAGGGCGGGGGGTGGGGGTGAATGGGTGACGGAATTGAAGACATTTGGATTTTGGAAAGATTTTTTTTTGATCACAGTGAGAAAAATGGGTTGGAGAGAACCAAGGACTAAGTGCAGTGAGATAATCAGAAAACAACATCATTCATTCAGGAGAAAAATGGCAGCTCCAAAGGCAATGGCCATTGAGACAGAAAGGAGGAACCATTTTCAAATTATATTTAAGATATAGAATTGATATGAGAGTGAAGGAGTAAAGGAAAGAGAGGTATCCAAGATGATGAAGAACTTTTGTCAGATGAGTATATGAAAACTAGAGTCAATCTCTCAGCATGGAAAATATGGAAAAAGAAACAGCTTTGAGAGAAAAGAAAGTGTGCTAAATTTTAGCTTGAGCTTCACACCCAAGTAGAAAAAAATAGCCTCTTTGGTTTTGCCAGAAATATTGCTCATGCATTATTTATTAATTTTACTCCAGCACAGACTAGAGCATGCTCTTCATGGGCTTATTTTCAGATAATATTATCAGAAAAAAATAATTACCTAAGTTAAGCAATTAACTATACTAGGACACTTTCCAATGTATAGTAAGAAAATATGCATATTTTAGAATAATTCTGATAATTGTACACATTAGAATTCTTAAAGAACATACTTTCCTAAGAAGTAAATCAGTAAATTCTACATGGGAACTCCACATTAACCTTTTAAACTCCCGAGTCTTGGGTTTTCCTTCTCCTCAAACTACTGATTGCTGTTGTTTGTTTGTTTGTTTTCCCATACTTTCTTTCATCAAATGCCCAACATATTTTATACAGACAGGGTTGAGAGCAAGATCTCCAAAACCCAACTGTGAGAGGTTTATATTCCAGCTTGATCACTCATTACTTTTGAAAATTAGGGAAAGTCACCTGACTCCTTAGGCTTCCATCTACTCATGTATATAAGAAGAAAATAATACTCAAGACCTCAAAGGTTGGTCTGGGAGTCAAACATGCAAAAACACAAAAAGAGCTTTGGGCAGTGACCATCTTCCAGGAGCACTCAGGAAGTGTTAGACCTCATCATCAGTAATGTATCCCTCTTCACTATTTTCTTTAGATTTCCATTTTCCAGTCTAGCCACCCTGGGTGTTTAAAAGGCAGGTGAGGGATCCCTGGGTGGCGCAGCGGTTTGGCGCCTGCCTTTGGCCCAGGGCGCGATCCTGGGGACCCGGGATCGAGTCCCATGTCGGGCTCCCGGTGCATGGAGCCTGCTTCTCCCTCTGCCTGTGTCTCTGCCTCTCTCTCTCTCTGACTATCATAAATAAATAAATAAATAAATAAATAAATAAATAAATAAATAAATAAATAAATGTAGGTGAGATAGACAACATGACCATGAGGATGCCTTCAGTTCTTTGGTGTTTAATTAGTTTCAGGCAAAGAATCCAGATAAATCCTTCTGTTTTTCATCTGGAATATCTGAGTGGGCTGGAGAAGAGTGAGTACACTTG